TATTTGAATTAGTTGACAATATAAATACAAGATATATAGCCGACTTGGGCATATAAATTGAAGGAAGACCCCCCAAAAAAAACAAAGAAAGAAAATGGTAAGAAAACTAGGGCTTATTTGTTTATGTTTTCATTTTTTATTTTTAAGATTTATTTTGTAGAATAGTTTTTAAAATTATTTTTAAAAAATAAAAAAATATGTTTGATCGTGTTAATTTAAAAATAATTTTGAAGTTAAAAAATTAATCAATATTGATTAATAGTGGTGTGTTATAATAATCATTGGTCAATGCAAAAAAATAATAGCAGCTTTGAAAATAATTAGATTTAAAACAGTTATCCAAACAGCGATTTTTTAAAAAAACTGTTTTTGGAAACAGAAACTAATGGTCTATTTGGTTTCTTCTATTTTAGTTTTTAAAAATTATTTTATAATATAATTTTTAAAACTGCTTTTTCAAAATAAAATAAAAAAATTCATTTGATTGTGTTAATTTAAAAATAATTTTAGAATAAAAATAATTAATACTTCTTTCATTTAAAATATAAAATATTTTAATTAAACTTTACCTTTTAATAGCTTTCAAATTAACTTTATCTTTTTATATTTACCTTCATTAAACACCTATAATAAATATAAAGTCACTATCAATAGTGATACTTTAAAAAAAAGACAATAATTACACCTCAAAAAATTAAAAATGCTTTATATTTTTTAATATACAACTCCTCAAAAATACCTTACATTTTTAAACAGAGGCAGTAATAATTATCGATATTTAATAGTAATGATTTATGATAACTATGGATCAATGTAATAATAATTTTTAGAAATCAAATTTAATATATTTTTTAAAAAATAAAATAAAAATAATTTTACTCCCTTCGTTAGGTATTTTTTGAGGAATTAAATGTTAAAAATGTGAGATATTTATAATCTTTCGAAGTATAATAATTACCTTCTTTTTAAAATGCTCCTATAGTAAACTTATATTTATTATAAAATATTTAATAAAAATAAATATAAAAATAATATTAATTTAAAAGTAGGTAATTATTTTATTAAGTGTTTGATTTGATTAAAAATATTTTATATTTTTAAATTGAGGGAGTAAAATATTTTTATTTTTTTTAAAAAAAAGTTAAAAATCTGTTTTTGAAAACTGAAACCGCACTAAACATCCTTTATATTAAATTAAATTAAATGGAAAAGACTGCAAGTTGGCACGTGAAACACAAAAGTCAAAAGAGAGGCAAGAGAAAAACAAATCGGTCTGCCCCTTGAGTGACTCAAACTCTGAGATACTCGCCGTGACGCAACCCTTCTTGGGATTGGCTGGCGTATACATGGCAATTTTATATATTTAGTCATCAATTTAAGTATAGAATGTAAAATGTAAAATTAATCATATTTTCACAAATTATAAATACTATAACTCACTCCCTCCATCCATTTTTTTATCGTTTCAGCAAAACATTTTCCACTTTAAATGTTTTATAATACCAATGGATGATTAATATTTTTTCCAATTGTATCTTAATACTAGCTAAATGTGTGGTTCTTAATACCATGCAATCACATGAAAATTGAAAAGCATAGTGAAAAACAGAGTGAAGGATAGAGAGAATATAATAAGAATAATTTTAGCAAATTTACATCAATCATTAAGTGTTGATTGCCTCTTTTAATCATTGTACTAAAACCTTAAAAACACCTTTTTTTATTAATAAACAAAAAGACCACAAAAGTACTCTCTCCGGTTTATTTTACAAATATGTTTGTTGGTAAAATTGTGAATATATTAATGAAGTCAATTCAATAACGTTTGGACTTTGATCTCTAAAAGTACATGCTATAAATTTTTAAAAATATCCTTTATTTAATAAAAGACAGAGAAAGAAAGAAAATAATTTCTTTCTCATTATGCCCTACTTGATAGTTGCAATTAATTTTGGAGGAAGTCGGATATGATTATATATGATATTAGTCTTCATAATCGGGAGGAAATTAAATTAACCATCTAGCTCCAAATCATTCTTTGATTTAGTTTTCACTAAAAAGAGGGATGATAAACAGTTTTTTTTAATATAAAAACAAATTAGGTCAATTCCATGACCAATTCTCATCATTAAATAAGTTACCAAAAAAAAAAATCGTTAGAAGAAGACAAAAAGTGGACCTTTCTTAAAATATAGAATTAGTTGGCCAGATACGTTGGATTTTTCTGGAGGGCCAATAAACTGCGACGTCTGTGATCTTCAAATCTCAGATCCCTCAGAATTATTCCATTCAACCAATTCAAAGTAAAAGTTTTTTTTTTTTTGGTTGCCCAACAAAGTATAAGATTCGCTAGTGGTACTCTGGAACCTTATAATATTCGTTAGTAACCATGGGTTCCCAAAATCATTTTTAAATTCAATGATCAAATGAAATTTAGACTAACAATCTATACAGTGAATAGTGATCCAATTTAATAAAGAATTTTTAAGTTAATGATTTTTCTCCACTGATTATTATGGTACTGTAATTATAATAGTTCTCCCCCCTAATCTTCCTTTGTGAGACAATTCTCTGGTGTGTTTGGATTGATTTAGAACTAGGTCGAATCTCTTATTTGAATATATACAAATTTATAAAAACTATTACTTATTATAATTTTTTTATAATTTTAAATTCTTATTGTATCCTAATCATTTAAAATTTTAGTTACTTCAAACATTTCATTATCCTTATCTTTTTACTAATGATCCCAATGACTCTCGTATTTTTTTTCTCATGTCTCATTCTTGTCCTCTATCCATTGAAAAATAAATATAAACTCACCACTTATAACTTTTTATTTTCGTTTTAAATCAACTTATCTCTGTTATTCATTTGAAATTATTTAAACTACTCAAACAAATTATTTGAAATGTGAGATTTTAAATTTAGAATTTAAATGCAAATGATACCTAAAATTAATTCAAACTCCTTCACATGTGATTAAATATTATAATTATTATATACATTATAATAGAAATGAATGATTAAAGAAAAACATTGATCACATGCACCATCTTATCATTATTATATAATATTTTATTTAATTTTATTTATAAGTTATTTTTTACATGTTTTATTGGAATCAAGAAAAAATTTAAAATTCATTAATTTTATTCAAAAATGTAATAAATTTTTAATTTTATTCCTATTAAATACACATACTTTAATAATGTGCTATTTTCTCTCACTAATATTTAAGGGGAAATAAAAGAAGAATCTCGTGATAAAAATTTAATGACATAATAGGAAAAAAATCCATCATTCTTTGTATTATAATTATATCAAACGCCAATAATGCATGGTTTCTTTTTTAAATAGCTAGAAAACATAATTATTATGTATAATTATGACTAATTAAAATGTTTTGTGACAATTATTAGATTATCACCAGAAATTATATTAATTCTCACTCCACTGGTGTGGTGTGTTTGTTTATTACTTCATCTAATCCCTTTTTTATTTTTTGGCCACGCTCCATCTAATCCTATTCCAACAAATTTTACCAAAATTCAATGAAAACATTAAGCCTCATTAACTTTATCTTAAAAATTAATAAGCTTTCACTTGTTCTACCCTAATAAAATAAAAATTATTATTTTTATGTAATATTTTTTTAAGCATTTAATGAGGACAGAAAGATAAAGATAAATATGAAACATAATGAAATACCTTATAACTATGCTCAAAATTAATCTTTTCTCTTGTCCTATACATAAGACCGTACCATATGAGTATACATATAACACACACAAACACGCCTGCGACCTTCAGAAATGTCAAAATTCAATGCGAGTTTGGGTAATATATGCTCCTTTTGTTTCTTATTTTGGTTCAATGAACTCTGATTTACAGAATGCTCAAATTCATGCCATGCAACGTTAGAAGTGGTGTAGAAAAAAATAGGTTTGAAAATATTTAAAGCAAGATCAACGTTAAAATATGATTTTCCTTGTATAAAAAAATAAAAAATGATAATTTTTCCTGTAAATAATAATGGAGGAGTATGTTTTTAGGTAGTTAATTAAATATAGACGGTCAAAGGAGTGTGTGTATCTGTGGATGAGTTGTGTTTATAATGGTGGTGCCGGTCCTCGTGTTTTACATTGGTCCTAAATTTTATATTTAATATTGGATATTGATTGTTCATATTTTTTTAGTATAAATAATTAGACAATGTATTTAAAATTTTAAAATAATTAAAAAATAACTATATGATGACCCGTTTTTTAAAACTTCAAAGTAATTTTATGAAAATTAATTTATTATTTAGAAATTTTAGTCAAAGTTAGAAATTATTTTTCTTTTAATTTGAAATATAAAAATGATTTATTTTTCAGTTATTTTCAGATTTTACGATATTTCTATATGGGCAAAAATTATGATTTATTTTTTACAAGATACACATGTATTGATTTAATTAGAAATAAGCACCTTAAATATATAAAATTAAGAATATAAATTTTTTTCCTTTTATATTTTCATCCTCACACTTTCTCTCATTTAATGAATCTTATTATTTTAAAAATTTATCATCATTTTTAACATAAAAAATAAAATCTATCATTATTAAGTGTAGCTTACCAAAACAATAAGAAATCTAATATTTTTTAAAACTGACACAAACATCTTAAGATTTCTCAAAAGGATTTTATAAAATAATAAATATTTTTTTTCCATAAAAAGGGGTTCAGAATATAAAGCAAAAAGGTTTAGAGCAAGTCTAATAAAATATACAGATTCAAGCCCATATCACGAGGGTAATGCGAGAGTGAGCAACATGTTCAAACCGCCATGGCTGACCAAAACCACTGACCCCACGAAACCAGAAACCTTAAAAGCTAAAACAAACCTTGACTTTTTCAGAGTCAATCCCTCCCACCCCCCTCTTTTCTCACCGTCGACATTTCCACCTACATACATTTTCTTCCTCTCTCCTTTCTCTGCAACATATCTCTCTCTATACGCTGAGAAATCGACCCAACTGAAGTTTTAGATCATTACTCTAGTTTCTGATATGGGCAATGCAGTTTTGACACCGTGTTTTGCGCAGCAAAACCCTAATTCGTCGTCGTCTTCTTCGATAAAACTTGTCTTCTGCGAAGGCACGACGAGGTTCCTGAGAGGAAAACACATCGCCGGCGAGATCATGTTCGAGTTCCCAGAAAAGGTGGTATGCCACGCTGACTCCTTCTTCATGGGCCTCCCGGTGCCGTCGTTAGCCATAGACGACGAACTCATGCCAGGCCAAACCTACTTCGTTCTTCCCATAGATCGCTTAGCATGCAAGGTCCTGTCGCCAGCGTGGCTCGCAGCCCTAGGTTCATCATCATTATCATCAACATGCCCTAATAAAACCAGAAAGTCGTCGTCGTCATCACCATGTCCGATCAAGTTTGGAGAGAGCCCTAGTCCTTTTGAGTGCATAAAGGGCTCCAATGGGAGGATTCTGATAAAGGTGAAGCCTGAGTTCATCACGAGGCTTATTAATGGAAATAGTGACAAAGAAACAGATCGTAATGGTGATAGTAACTATAGCTTTCTGTGTAGTACTCCCGAGTTGAAGAAGCACTATGATCAGCTTGTGAGGTCTAAGGATCAGCATTGGTCACCCAAGCTTGAGACCATTTCGGAGTACAAGGTTAGGTTTTCGCCATGCAGGTTCTTGGGCTTAGAATGGAAAGAAAAAGAGAAAAATGTATGTTAATTAATGTTCAGAACTCAGAAGAGAGATCTATGTAGATGATATATAATTTTTTTTTCTGGGAAGAATTGTACACTGATAGATAAAAAGATCTTGTCTCATATATAAAGTGTTAATGTTAATGTTATTCATAAGTTCTATATCTGTATGGTGTTGTTTGTAAAAAACAATTAATCAAGCGTGGTATTGCGAGGCGTGCTAAAGGCGTGAGGTCTTAAAAGGATGGAAGAACCTGATTTCTAATCAAATGCGGGGACTCAGGCTCCCTTATCACAATTTACCTGGATGTGAGAATGCGAAGTGAAAAATATTAATGGAGATGCAAAAAAGTAGAGATGCATTAATTAAAGAAATAGGTAGCGGGCTATGCCAGCCGTACAATGAAAAGTAAAGACTAAAACTATATGATAAAAAATGTAAAATAAAGTAGCAAATCACGGAGTCTGAGACTGATAGTTTGTTAATGCTGATGATGACTGTTGAGAGAGAGCTCCTCTATTTATAGATGATCTTGGCTTGGTACCCAAGCCCCATGATTGTCACTTTTCTTGAATTTAGAAAGCACTTCCTTCATCATGTTCACTCATCATGGGTAATGATCTTGACTTAATGGCTAAGACTTCATAAATATTCTTTTTTTTCAAATAATTATTTTAAAGCCAATTAAGTTGAGTTGGGACAGGGCCTCCATGTTCACAATTTGGGTGCAAATAATGCCCCCCGCATACAAATTGGCCAGAGTTTTTGTAGGCCAATTTTGTATGGATATATCTTGAAGGACCGGCTCATTCTCGTTTTGATTAATTATTAATCTGGTACTTTTCTTGAAGGATATCCTTGTAATTGAGGGTTAAGGACCATGTGATCCAGCTTATGATCAAGTTTCTCAAGGTTTAGGACCTCAAGAGCTGGTTTTAGAATTGACCCCTCGAGTTTTTAGACTTTAAGGACTGATTCTGTAAAATCTAGCTGTTACGAGGCCCCTATGAAGAAAGCCTTTTAGGAGAGAGCTCTCGTGGAAAAGGCTCTTGCAAAACTTACCTTTTTGACTTTGGCTCCTGCAATGCCGGCCCCTGTGGTGCTGGCCCTTTGGTTGTGGCCCCTATGACTTTGGCCCTTGTGACTTTGACCCCTATGACGTTAACCCTAATAACTTTGGCTCTTGTGGCTCCAACCCCTCTGATGCTGACCCCAATAACTTCAGCCCCGATGGTACTGGCCCCAATGACTTTAGCCCTTATGGCTTCGACCCTTCTGGTACTGTCCCCAATGGCTTCTGCCCCGATGGTGCTGGCCCCAATGACTTCGGCCCTTGTGGCTCTGGCCCCTCTGGTGTTGGCCCTAATAGCTTCGACCCTGATGGTGTTGGCCTCGATGACTTCGGCCCTTGTGGCTCTGGCCTCACTGGTGCTGGCCTTAATGGCTTCAGCCCTAATGACTTCGGCTCTTATAGCTCCGTCCTCTCTACTGTTAGCCCCAATGGTTTCGGCCTTGATGGCGCTAGCCCTAATGACTTCGGCCCTTATGGTTTCAACCTTGATGGCACTGGCCCCAATAGCTTCAGCCCTGATGGTGCTGACCCCAATGGCTTTGGCCTCGATGGTGCTAGCTCTAATGACTCTGGCCCTTATGGTCGAACAGGCCTGCTATTGAATTAGACCTGCCATTTATCTTTTGAGGGATGTTATAGTGGTCCTCATTATTGATCTTTTGGTCAAAAGGCACTTTAGGAGACTGCCCCTCGAGTCCATCTATTCTCTGAGGGTGCGAGCCAATCGGAGCTTGCTCCTGTAACGATCTAGACAGCATAACAAAGATGTTCCTTAGCCCCTCCTTTAGAGTTTGCAACAGAGCTCTTTGCCTCTCGTTAGCTTAAACTTCACGTTCTGCGTGTGCAGCCACATTCTTTGAGTCGTAAGACTCAGGTCTATTTTTTCCAACAACATATTGATCCTTATGTGTCCTAAACATTTCTTTCACATGTGTCCCACCAAACATGCCAAAAATTGTTTGTAAAAAATAATCAATCAGGCGTGATGTCGCGAGGCATGCCAGAGACGCAGGGTATTATATGCAATTTATTTATGAATGTTTCTTTTACTTGTAAATTAATGTCTTATTTGTTTAAATATTGCCCTTATCATGGTTATATAAAAATATTTATAAATTTTAATTGAATCATATTTTTTTAATTATGATCAAGTTAATCTCAATTCAACTATAGTTAAATCACTAATTTAAAATTATTGCCTTGATTAACTCAAAGTTTTTAATAACTATTAGATAAATTGTACCTTTTATTTTTAAGAGTATGAGAAAAATAGCCATCATTATATTATATAAAAAAATCATTTAATTATGGTTATAACTATTTTTTTAAATTTTTTTCTTTAACTTTTTATATTGTTTAAGCCCTATATATAAAAGGCATTTACCTTAGTTCATTCTTAATTTTTAACCAAATTTGGCATGGATGATAATTAAATAATTATTTAAAAATATTATTTTATTTATTATATTTATTTAGTAGTAGAACCAGAAATTCGTACATACCCAAAACTTATTTTTAAAATTATTTTTAATTTAAAATTAATTATTTTATTTTATAAAAAATATAAAATATAATTTTTTTGGACAAGAAAATGGTGTATATCACTCAACTTTTTTTTGAAAAAAATTGAGTCTTAAAATATAAAAATTATTATTAAAATATATATTTAATTATTATTTTGAGATATTTTATTTGATTAAAAATATTAAAAATAAGAACTATAAATATTTTTATTTTTTTAAAATAACTATAATAATACACTCAAATATATGGTATTTTAAAATAAAATGATATAAAACTTTAAAAATGATTAATATTTATTATATTATATATATTTTTTTAAAAAAATTTCTATTCGGGTATTCAGGCCAAGCCTGAACCCGATCGGGCTTGGCCTGAATTTTCTGGGGCCTATTCGGGCCGCTCGAATAGGCCTGAACAATAAAAAATATTATTTTTTGAGCTCAGGCCTAAATTTTTTGAGTGGGTTCGGGCTAGCCCGTCGGGCTTAGCCCAAATTACCGGCTTTAGTGTCAGAGATGTAGGGTCTCAAAACGATGGAAGAACTTAACTTCTAATCAAACGCGGGGACTCGGATTCCCTTACCACAATTCATTTGGATATAAGAATGCGAAGTGAAGAACACTAATAGAGATTCAGAAAAGCAGAGATGTATTAATTAAAGAAATAAGTGGCGGGCTATGCTGACCGTACAATGAAAAATAAAGACTAAAGCTACATGATAAAAAGAAAAATAAAGTAACAGACACAAAGTTTGAGACTGATAGTTTGTTGATGCTGATGATAATCTAATGATACCATTGTTGAGAAAGAGCTCCTCTATTTATAAATGATCCTGACTTGGTGCCCAAGCCCTATGATTGCCACTTTCCTTGAATTTAGGAAGCACTTCCTCCATCATGTTCACTCATTATGGGTAATGGTCTTGACTTAATGGCTAAAATTTCAAAAATATATTTTTTATATAATTATTTTAAAGCCAATTAAGTTGAGTTGGCCCAGGGCCTCTAAATTCACAATTTGAGTGTAAATAATGCCCCCCGCATACATATTGGTCGGAGCCTTCGTAGGCCAATTTTGTATGGATATGTCTTGGAGGATCGGCTCATTCTCGTTCTGATTGATGGTTGATTTAATACTTTTCTTAAAGGACTATGGGGTCTAGCTTAGAATCAAGTTTCTCAAGGTTTAGGACCTCAAGAGCTGGTTTTGGAATTGGCCTTTCAAGTTTTTAAGGATTGATTTTGTAAGATCTAGCTGCTGTAGGGCCTCTGTGGAAAGAGCCTTTTAAGAGAGAGCTCTCGTGGAAAGGGCCCTTCCAAAACTTGCCTTCCTGACTTTGGCCCCTGCGGTGCCAGCCCTTGTGGTTGCAAGCCCTGTGACTTCAGCCCCTCTGGTGTTGACCTTTATGGTTGCGGCCCTTGTGGTTCTAGCCCCTTAGTTGCAGCCCCTATGACTTCAGCCCTTATGACTTCAGCCTCTGTGGTGCTAACTCCAATGGCTTCGGCGCCGATAGTGCTGGCCCCGATAACTTCGACCCTTATGGCTCTGGCCCCTTTGGTGTTGGCCCTAATGGCTTTGGCCCTGATGGTGCTAACCCTAATGACTTCGGCCCTTATGGCTTCAGCCTCTCTGGTGTTGGCCCCAATGATGCTAGCCCCAATGGTTCTGGCCCTTATAGTCGAACGAGTCTGCTATTAAATTAGACCTGCCATTTATCTTTTGAGGGATATTATAGCGATTCTCATTATTGATCTTTTGGTCGAAGGGCACTTTGGGAGATTGTCCCCTGAGTCCATCTGTTCTCTGAAGGTGAAAGCCAATCGGAGCTTGCTCCTATGACGATCTAGACAACATAACAGGGATGTTCCTTAGCCCCTCCTTCAAAGTTTGCAACAGAGTTCTTTGCCTCTCGTTAGCTTGTACTTCACATTTTGTGTTTGCAACCACGTTTTCTGAGTCGTAAGACTCAGGTCTATTCTTTCCAACAACATATTGATCCTTATGTGTCAAAGGCATTTCTTTCACATGAGTCCCACTGGGCATGCCAAAAATTGTTCATAAAAAACAATCAATTAAGGCGTAGTATGGTGTTGTGAGGCGTGCTAGAGACGCAAGGTCTTAAAAGGATGGAAGAACCTGACTTCTAATCAAACACAAGGAGCCGGGCTCCCTTACCACAGTTTACCCAAATATAAGAATGCGAAGTGAAGAATACTAATGGAGATGCAGAAAAGCAGAGATGCATTAATTAAAGAAATAGGTAAAGTAAAGACTAAAACTACATGATAAAAAGAAAAATAAAGTAACAGACACAGAGTCTGAGACTGATAGTTTATTGATATTAATAATGATCTGATGATACCATTGTTGAGAAAGAGCTCCTCTATTTATAGATGATCCTCGCTTGGTGCCAAAGCCCTATGATTTCCACTTTTCTTAAATTTAGGAAGCACTTCCTCCATCATGTTCACTCATTATGGGTGATGGTCTTTACTTAATTGCTAAGACTTCAAAAATATATTTTTTTATATAATTATTTTAAAGCCAATAAAGTTAAATTAGGCCAGGACCTCCAAATTCACAATTTGAGTGCAAACAGAAATATTTTAAATTTATTAGGAATCACAAAAGTAAATCAACTTCAGTGCATCATTACTTATTCATTTTATTTTTTATATAATGTATTGATATAAAGTTTTTATGAGCATAGAATGGTATGTATAAATTTTCATGCAATTTTTAATTGTATTATGTAGGTAAGTACTTTTTTTTATGAAATAAACATGAAATCTAACTTGTGAGATTAAATGTTGGAAATATTGGAACATAGAAGAGGAAAATTGTTTAATTAAAACCCCATACTATATGAGTATATCTCTTAGATTTCAAAATAAAACTTGTTCATTTTGTTATGGTTTTTATGCATTATAAATAAGAACATAAAGATTTTATAAGGTTCTACTGTCAATTTAAAAACTATTCTTTGTCTAAATGAAGAGTTTCTTTTTTGATTAGATTTTCATTAGCAATGTATTATGTAGGTAAGTACTTTCTCCTGTACTTTTAATTTTTCACACATGCTATGAACTTGAGGTGTCATTAGAAATTTATTTGATGATTTGGCCAAGTTTAAAAGGAAACAGAAGGAGAAGAAGAAACACAATTTTTATCCATGCAGTTTTTTTAAAATTATTATTAGTTTGAGAAATTGATATTTCTTGGTGATTACAAAAAAAAAATATTTTTGAATTGTGGGTTACTGACTAGAAAGGATTTTTAAATGAATGTTTTTGTTTCTAGCGAAATTTTAAATTAAATTGTTTTACTTTTTTCTTTCCATGATACTTTTATGAATATGTTAGGACTTAGGATTGAGAGTATACTTTTTTTTTTTTAAAGAATTTTGAGCCATGAAAATTTTTGTACATAAAGGAATTTTCAAAATTTATGGATCTACAACTTTTATTAGTCTTTTTTTTTAAAAAAAAAAGAATGAGAAGATAAAAGTAAGATGTTGGTTAGGTAATTAATGTCGATGGTCAAACCATTTTTTTTATGGTATTATGGTTTGTTAAAGATTAGAAATTACTGTGTGTATTTGACTCAGTTATGATAAAGGTCCCTTTAAATTAGAGGCACCACTTCCTAAAAATAAATACATAAATAAATCGTTAAATCTAAGGGGTAGACATTTTTTAGATGTCTCTTATCAATTGAAGACTGAGAATTAAATAAATATAAGAATCACCTTTATGAATTTGGTAGTTATGAATTTATTATGAAAATGATTTAAGGTGCAAAAAAATTAAATTCTTAGACAATATGTTGATAGTTGAATTGCGTGCTAAGGTTATATGTTATAAGATTTAAGGAGAGGTGTTAGTATTTGAATGATAAGATCAATTGTATGGCAAACAAAAAAAAAAAGAATTGTTGAGTGAAAATATGCCACATGAGAACAAAATAAATTAGAGGGAATAGAATTATATAGATTGGGATATGTTATTCGTAAGGGGAATTCTATATAGCCGAGAGATGAGGAAGTGCACTTGAGAGGGAAAGCTTCTAGCGCCGTCGTCGGAAGAACGTAATGCTTTAGCACGACACCGTAAAAAGGTCCGAGCCGATGATGGATCTTTCTCCTTCGAGCAGAGCCTGGTTCCTCAAGAAGAGACTTGGATGCGTGATGAAGGAGATGAATTTAAGGGCGAGAAGGAGGAAGGAGGTAAGGGCTTCTCAGATGCTGATATGAACCGAAAAACAAGTAAAATCTAGAAATCTTATAAACACACATGCATGAATGGGAAAGATGAAGAGGAACAATAGGAGGATTGGTAGAGTGGAGATAAGCAGAAATTGAGGGTATCGGTGGAGATGACAACGAGGGGTCCGAATGTGATCATTCCTCCGGCGGAGAAGGAAAGGCTAGCAAAGAAGTGGAAGAACACTCTTATAGTTACTTTGTTAGGTAGAATGGTCAGGTCAGAATATATGGAATCCAAACTACCTCAGATGTGGGGGTGTTATGGTGATATTGAAGTTATTGATGTGGGTTTAGGCTTCTAGGTGGTCCAGTTTAAAGATAGAAAGGACTATGACTCTATGCTTACTGGTGGACCATGGCTTCTCCTTGATCACTATCTGGCTATTCAACCTTAGAAAGAGAATTTCGAATCGAATGAAGAGAAGATTACTAAGATTGTTGATTGGATTCATATCTCTCAACTTCCCTTGGATTATTATGATCAAGGCATATTGTATGTTTTGGGGTCACAAATTGATCATGTCTTGAAGGTGGAAACAACTACCATAAAGAGGAAGAAAGGTCGCTTTGCCCGCTTATGTGTTAAACTGGATTTGAATGCTACATTAAGACCAATTGTCCTCATCAATAGGAAAGAAAAACGAATTCAGTATGAAAGTATTCACCTAATATGTTTGAAATGTGGTAGGTATAAACATGATGCTGATAATTGTCCAGTGAGACCTCTACCGCCAGAGACGATGCAAGGTCAAGCTTTGGGAAACTCAAGTAATAAAGGCGAGAGCGTAAACGTGAATCCTAAAGCGATAATACTTCATATGAAACTGGGAGCTATGGAGGACGGTAAAGAGGTGATGGAGGTGGCTGAATCAGATGTATGCTATGAAGAATGGATGATAGTCCAGAGGAGAAGGAGATTCCAGTGCAGCAGTGGGTCGAAAAATCATATCAACTAGCAGAGGCAGAATTATTGAGCAAAATCCAATATTGAAGGATATAGATCTTGATTTTCTATTTTAGACATTGAGGAGGGAAGATTGGATGAATGAAATCATCATAACACTATAGCACGTAATATGCTAATGGATATTAGTAATCAAGTTCGGGAGATCAGTGATACGGCCAAGCAGTACGGGTCAAAGGGGAGAAATGGACAAGGGTCAAAGTTCAATAAGGATACTGAACAGCTAAGGCAACTGTTAAATGGGCCTGAGCACTTAGGAGCTCTTAAACCACAAGAAACAAAGTAACCTGCACCTAACGAAATAGACACGTTGCAATAGGCTAAAGTTTGACTGGATTTAAAGAACGCATCTACAAAAACTGGGCTAAATGACCAGAACGACATGGAGATGGACCATGAAGATGGAATGAATAAGAATATGGACTATATATCTGAGAAACTAATGGATGAAGATAGCACCGAGTCTGAAGAAGAAAGCATGAAAGTTGATGATGATCCAATAGATCCGGGAGCGGGTAAACCGAATGAGTTCCTTATACATTTGAACCTACTTTCTTGTGATCAGAATGCAAATATGATGGGCATCTCGGTAGTTCGAGACTGCCATGTAGCTCATGCATAATGGACCAATGCGGTAAGTGATGAACAGGTTTGATATGGATAGCAGTGTAAATAATATTCTAATATGAAATGCTAGAGGGATTAGTGGGAGAAGTTTCCTGAGACTACTCGATAAGAAGTAAGTGTAAACTTGAATTCTTAGCTATTCTTGAACCTAGACATAATAGCTCTAAAGCTCAAAGGATTTCTCATACAGTTGGCCTCTCAAAGTTTGACTATATTGAAGCTGATGGGTTCAGTGGCGGAATATGGTGTTTTTAGGGAGAGAATTCTGATTTTCAAGTGAAGGAGAAGCATAATCAAGTTATTTATGGGTGTTTTAATCGTGGCACCAGAGAAGAGTCGGGTCTCTCTATTATCTATGGTAACCCATGCTATGCAAGAAGGTAGGCGCTATGGCAATCCTTATGTCAAATAGAAGAGAATAGTGTGCAAAAATGGTGTATCGGTGGCGACTTTAATACCACTTTGCACAATGAGGAATGTGTTTCTTTTTCTCCTACATCAGTTCGGTCAAACAGATATTTCAAAGAGTGGTTTACTGGTACTGACTGAATTGACATGGGATTTTATGGACCTAACTATATGTGGAGTAGTGGCCAAACACGAAGCAGAATTGACAGGGTATTTGTTAATGCAGATTGGTACGAGTCATTCCCTCATGCGTCAGTAATACACTTACCCAAGTTTAAGTCTGACCACTGTCCTATATTGCTAAACCGTGGCAAGATGCTGGTAAGACAAAGAAAGAATACTCCTTCAAATTTTTCACCCCTTAGGTTACTCATGAAGACTTCAACTCGATTATTAGGGGATCATAGAGTTTGTCTCAGAGTTGGGAAGAGAACGTGGAGTGGTTTATCTCAAATGTGACTGATTAGAACAAGCACGTGTTTGGAAACATTAATAAACGCAAGGCTGATTTACTTTATAAGCTTGAGAATATTTCAAAGCTCATGGGTAAAGCTACTAGCTCGTGAAACATGGAAGAGGAACAAAGTAGGTTATGGAATTAGTTGGAAGGAGTATTAGTATAAGACGAGATTATGTGGTTGCAAAGGTCCAGATGTAATTGGTATTTACAAGGTGATAAAAATACTAGATATTTTCATATTATGACCAGTACCCACAAATGAAGAAAGCAGATTGAAGTATTTAAAAGGGAAGATGACGAATGGATCTATGGCACTAAAAATTTGAAAGGTATGGGGACTGATTATTTTACATGCTTTTATTCGGAGGATTCTCCTACACCAAATAATATTGTTTTCAAAGGCACATTTCCTAAAATCTCAAAAGAGGAATTAGATGTGCTGGGAAGGTAGATAACTACCCATGAAGTAAAATAGGCCCTTTTTTCTATAGGGCCTCTTAAAGCCCTGAGTCCTGATGAGCTTAATCCGTTATTCTTCTAGAATCAATGGGACTTGGTAGGGGATTTGGTTTTCTTCTTAGTGCAACAAATTTTCCATACCCCTGAATTCATAGGCAAAATTAATGACACCAATATTGTATTAATACCGAATATTGATACTCCAGAGTCTATGAAATATTTCCGTCCTATTGGTCTGTGCAATGTTATCTATAAAGTGGTGACTAAAGTCCTGGCGTCAAGATTGAAGACTATCCTGCCACAAGTGATCGCCCCTAATCAATGTAGCTTTGTTCCTAGAAGACACAGTACGGATAACATTATTATTGCCTAAAAAATTATTCATTCATTTCACAAATGCAAAGGGAAAGAGGGCTTTATAGCTTTAAAGATTGACTTAGAAAAAGCTTATGATAGAGTCAGATGGGGCTTTGTTACTCAATGCTTAAAGGAATTGAATGTTCCGAAGCAATTTGTAGATCTAGTGTCCAAATGCCTCATTACTGCTTCTATGCAAGTGTTATGGAACAGTGAGAAGGGGAAGAAATTCATATCTTCTAGGGGATTAAGGTAGGGAGACCCCATTTCCCCTCACCTGTTTGTGTTAATTATAGAGAAATTGGGACAGTTAATACAAGGAGAAGTAGAAAATGGAAATTGGCTTCCCTTTCGCTTCAAAAGAAATGGGATAAGAATATCTCATTTATTCTTTACAGATGATCTCCTGCTCTTTGCTGAAGCTAGTCTGGATCAAGCGGGATGATTAAAGCTTGCCTTGATGATTTTTGTAATATCTCAGGGGAAAAAGTCAATAATGCTAAATCTAAGATTTTTTTTCTCTGAGAATGTGGGGCAAATACAAGCAAAAGAAATTAATAACTTTTTAGAGTTCAGCTTGACACCGAATCTGGGAAAGTATTTAGGTGTACCTTTGCTTTATAAGAAAGTTACAACAGCCTCGTATCAACATGTATTGCATAAGATAGAGACCCATCTCTTAGCTTGGAAGGAAAATTCTCTATCCCTAATTGCCAGACACACATTAGTCTCATCTGTGGTAGCTGCTATCCCTTCATACATGATGCAATCAACGATGTTACCTACCAACACGTGCAATAAGATAGACAAAAAGTATAGGCAATTCATATGGGGTAGCACAAACACCCAAAGGAAGATGCATTTAGTCGCGAGGGGAGATATGTGTCAGTGGAAAGAAGAAGGAGGACTGGGACTTAGGGAGGCTTATAGACAAAACAAGGCTTTCATGATGAAGTTAGGCTGGGGCTTGATTAAAAGAAGAGATGCGCTTTGGGTCAAGATTATGAGAGAAAAGTATAAGTGTGGAAAAAGACTTGATCCCTAAAGTTGAGCTTTGAAGACATGCGTTTAGTTCTTGGAAAGGAATATGCAATGCTTAGGCTGACACTAATAATAGTATTGCATGGCAGTTGGGACGTGGAAACTGTATCAGCTTTTAAAAAGATCGGTGGTTGCCTCACCATGAACCTTTGATTCATTATACTACTATTCTAGTATTTGACGAAGTATGTGTGGAAATAGCAGATTAGTATTTTACAACATCGGGTAGCTGGAACAAGAACAAATTTGAAGAGCTCCTACCATCAAGCGTGGTGAAGGAGATCTTTCGCACGAGTAGAACAACAGATGATGATGGGATAAGGTGGACATGGACTAATAGTGGTGAGTTCACACCAAAATTTGCTTACCAAGGATTGTGTCCTCTTAGTAACACGGCTCGAAGAAGCCTATGGAGGAAAATATAGAAAGCTCCTATACCTCAGAGAAATAAAACCTTCATGTGGTTATGCTGTCGAGGTAGGATTATGACTAATGCGTTTCATGCCGTAAGAGGACTACAAACGAACACCAGCTGCTCCCTATGCACAGATTAACCAAAAAACATTATGCACATGCTACATGAATACTATCTAGTGACAGGCTATTGGGAGAGATTAGTTTCAATAGAAAGGAGCAACACATTCTATTCTATTGAGAATTATGTGAAATGGATTGACTAGAATATGGCTCAAAGGTTTTTAGTTAATGGCTATAGATGGGATGTGTAGTTTGCTATTTTATATAGACAAATTTAGATTAATAGAAATATGAGGGTTTTTCAACAAAAAGCTGTTGGTGCTCAAGCGACACTTGCTCAAGCATTGGTGGTGATTAGATGGGGAGATTCGAGATTATTGATGAACAATATGGATGAGGATCGAAGCTTATGGCGTGCCCCTATTATAGGAACTATAAAGTTCAATATTGATGGTGCTTGCATGACTAACAGTGGTATTGCTGGTTGTGGCGGTATAGCTCAAGACCACGCGAGGAAGACCTTAAGAGGATTTATGTATCTTATTGGATTGGGTTCCAGTCTGAGTGCGAAACTTTGGGGAGTAATATGGGCTCTCAAGAGAGCTTAGGACATGTCATGGTTCAACATGGAAATTGAACTAATTGTAGAGAGATCCTATTTGTTCTGTAACAGGATGAGGCGAGTAGTCACCCGAATAGAACCTTGACAAATGAAATTCAAAACATGAGGAGTAGAGACTGGTCTATGAAGTTTGCATGGTGCAGTAGAGAGGCTAATTTGGTTGCAGATAGATTAGCCAAGGAAGATCTTTATCAAATATCTGATGTGGTATTATTCTCAAGTCCTTCGAATTGTATTTTTGATACTCTGAAATTTAACAGTAGGGTCTAATACCCTTGTATAACTCTCTGATCGAAAAAAAGGAATTCTAAACATGGGTTAAATATCAATTTGGATCTTGAATTATAGGTCCTAGGGCAATTTAAACCCTAGAGTTTAAAAAGGTGCATTCTGAACCCTAAATAATTAAAATTGGAGTAATTTGACCCCTATCATTAATTTTCAACAAACGTCGTCAAATTCATTTGGAAAAAATTACACTTTAGGCTCCAACTTGACAGAAGTTTGTTGAAAGTTAATGGTAGGGATCAAATTGCCCTAA